ACGGTGCACAACGTACATCACTCACAATGAGCTGAATGGGAAAAACTACATACGCTTTCGGTTTTGGGTTGCGGAATATGGACTCGTCCGTCGTTTAGGGTACCGGGTACATTTCTGAAGTTTGACTTTGTGTAGGGTACATGTCTGTATACAGAAACGTACCTGGGGTACATATCTGCAGTACCTGTGCCGACAACGACCCCTTCAGCGGCAGTGCAAGCTAGACCTTGTACAGGTTGATACAAAGTTTAATCGTTGTGCAGCCATATAGCTGGAATATTGCTGAGGGTGGCGTTAACATTGATAGATAGACCATTGCTGTAACCATATTACCAGAGCTATTATCTACCCAATCAATGTTCCAATGATCCACAATGACAACGTTAAAGAAATAAATGTACAGTTTCTGAAGCTGTAAGGCATTCTAATACTACACACAAATACACAGTTGTTTATAAAACATGAGAGCTGTCAATGATTATGTTCTAGGTGACTTCATGGTGACTTCATTAGGGAAGAGAAACTGCTGTCAGCTTCCCAAAGATTATTACGTGAGAGAACTGAGCAGTCCCTCTGGTTATTCCCACCATGATGCAATACCCAGGTAGGGCAATCTCAGGAATATTTGTCATTGTTCATTACTGTAGGAACATCACCTCAGTTACATAATCAGAAGTCCCACCAACCTTCCCCAATTATCTGTATCTAATTTGGTGTAGGATTTTTGGAAAAAATGAAGCCTGGTACATGATGAGAACAAAGGTGGAGAAAAACTATTTTCTACACAACTAATTCGGATTGGCTGTCTGTGAAGAGGGCTTCTGTTGAAAATCTAAAAGACTTTTAATACTGTGATGACAGACAACCTACAGAATTATGGCAATGATGAAATAGAAGTGTGGTATTCTCAGAAACGAAGGTGTGTTTGGGATAAAAACAAACTGCAAAGCACTACATATACTCATATATAACAAAAGGTGTTGATTTAACTTGAAATTCAGTGGTTTGGTGTGGAACAGGGTCACTGCCTATCATAGCAAGAGCAAGACTAAGGCCTTGGTCCCAGGGAAACAGCATACAGCACAGTCATTCAGTGCAGTTATCAGACAGTGTGTTAAAACGGATATCACCGGGCTTCCTAATAACTTTGAATGTTTTCTCACAAAACACCAGTGTGTGTGATTGATGGGGGCACATAGCCTGAAAGGAGGGGATCACTGTGTGGAGGGTAGGGTGAAGATGTGTGAGGTAAACTGAATTAAAGATAAAACACCTTCACTGAAACAAGCCTGGAGAGTCATATTAGAACAGCAAACAATGTCAATTGTGTGAAGCTGGAAGAGCTACTGAAGCTCACCTTCAAGTGAGTGAGTGACTGAATGAGTATGGTTTATGCCACTTTAGCAATATTCAGCAATATCACGACGGGGGACACCAGAAATGGGCTTCACACATTGTACCCATGTGGGTAATCGAACCCAGGTCTTTGGCGTGACAGGCAAACGCTTTAACCACTAGGCTACCCCACCGACCCTCAACTTCAGGTAATATAGCTACTACTGTGTTAAGGTGACATCATGAGCTATCAACACGTCTTGGCAGATGAAAGGTAGTCACAACATACCTTGAAAACCGTTTCCAAGAAGCTAATTTATTATACGCTGGGTCTGGTGGAGATATTCATGGGTGTAAAAAAGGACGACCTCAGATTCTGACACTGACCTCCATATCATAAACCTACTGCCACTTTTGCCTATTGTATTGTAGGTATTTTGGAATCTCACAGTAACCTTGTCACAGGTTTCAGGTGTGAGAGGTCTATATTTGAACTGTAATACATGCTTGGAGGTTTCACATATGAATTGTAAGACCTATGTTTTGCAGCTAAATTTTATAAAAAGCCTGTTTTGCAGCTATATAAATTTTATAAAAACGCTTTTGATATGCATGTAATGTTTGACTGGCTGAAGTCCCAATGTTCTTACATGAAATTCTATGATGTGAAGTGAGCTTGCAGCCTCGTATAATATTATGTTCAACACTGGACCAGATGATGAAAGGGTGTTCAGTCTAACATGCCATAGACTTCAGTTGTCCACATAGTGCATGTGGACTTTCTTTTGCAAGCTGTCTTCCACTTGACTACTCTGTTTTTTCATAGTAACGGATCCCAAAATTGATATCAGCTGGAAGTTGGTTACTATTTACTGACTGTATTTTTCCTGTATTGATTGGTGTGTAGCATGGCACTACTCCTATTGTTTGTTTTAAAGGTGATGTAAGCTAGAGGTTGGTAATATTTCACTGTATGGTTTTTCATGTTGATTGGTGTGTACCCTGGGTACTATAAACATGATATAGCGTGGCACTACAGGTATTGTTTGTTTTAAAGGTGATATAAACTGGAGGTTGGTAATATTTCACTGTATGGTTTTTCATGTTGATTGGTGTGTACCCTGGGTACTATAAACATGATATAGCATGGCACTACTGGTATTGTTTGTTTTAAAGGTGATATAAACTGGAGGTTGGTAATATTTCACTGTATGGTTTTTCATGTTGATTGGTGTGTACCCTGGGTACTATAAACATGATATAGCGTGGCACTACAGGTATTGTTTGTTTTAAAGGTGATATAAACTGGAGGTTGGTAATATTTCACTGTATGGTTTTTCATGTTGATTGGTGTGTACCCTGGGTACTATAAACATGATATAGCATGGCACTACTGGTATTGTTTGTTTTAAAGGTGATATAAACTGGAGGTTGGTAATATTTCACTGTATGGTTTTTCATGTTGATTGGTGTGTACCCTGGGTACTATAAACATGATATAGCGTGGCACTACAGGTATTGTTTGTTTTAAAGGTGATATAAACTGGAGGTTGGTAATATTTCACTGTATGGTTTTTCATGTTGATTGGTGTGTACCCTGGGTACTATAAACATGATATAGCATGGCACTACTGGTATTGTTTGTTTTAAAGGTGATATAAACTAGAGGTTGGTAATATTTCACTGTATGGTTTTTCATGTTGATTGGTGTGTACCCTGGGTACTATAAACATGATATAGCATGGCACTACTGGTATTGTTTGTTTTAAAGGTGACATAAACTGGAGGTTGGTAATATTTCACTGTATGGTTTTTCATGTTGATTGGTGTGTACCCTGGGTACTATAAACATGATATAGCATAGCACTACTCCTATTGTTTGTTTTAAAGGTGACATAAACTAGAGGTTGGTAATATTTCACTGTATGGTTTTCATGTTGATTGGTGTGTACCCTGGGTACTATAAACATGATATAGCGTGGCACTACTACAGGTATTGTTTGTTTTAAAGGTGATATAAACTGGAGGTTGGTAATATTTCACTGTATGGTTTTTCATGTTTGATTGGTGTGTACCCTGGGTACTATAAACATGATATAGCATGGCACTACTCCTATTGTTTGTTTTAAAGGTGATATAAACTGGAGGTTGGTAATATTTCACTGTATGGTTTTTCATGTTGATTGGTGTGTACCCTGGGTACTATAAACATGATATAGCGTGGCACTACTCCTATTGTTTGTTTTAAAGGTGATATAAACTAGAGGTTGGTAATATTTCACTGTATGGTTTTTCATGTTGATTGGTGTGTACCCTGGGTACTATAAACATGATATAGCATGGCACTACTCCTATTGTTTGTTTTAAAGGTGACATAAACTAGAGGTTGGTAATATTTCACTGTATGGTTTTCATGTTGATTGGTGTGTACCCTGGGTACTATAAACATGATATAGCGTGGCACTACTCCTATTGTTTGTTTTAAAGGTGATATAAACTAGAGGTTGGTAATATTTCACTGTATGGTTTTTCATGTTGATTGGTGTGTACCCTGGGTACTATAAACATGATATAGCATGGCACTACTGGTATTGTTTGTTTTAAAGGTGACATAAACTAGAGGTTGGTAATATTTCACTGTATGGTTTTTCATGTTGATTGGTGTGTACCCTGGGTACTATAAACATGATATAGCATGGCACTACTCCTATTGTTTGTTTTAAAGGTGACATAAACTAGAGGTTGGTAATATTTCACTGTATGGTTTTTCATGTTGATTGGTGTGTACCCTGGGTACTATAAACATGATATAGCGTGGCACTACTCCTATTGTTTGTTTTAAAGGTGACATAAACTAGAGGTTGGTAATATTTCACTGTATGGTTTTTCATGTTGATTGGTGTGTACCCTGGGTACTATAAACATGATATAGCATGGCACTACTCCTATTGTTTGTTTTAAAGGTGACATAAACTAGAGGTTGGTAATATTTCACTGTATGGTTTTTCATGTTGATTGGTGTGTACCCTGGGTACTATAAACATGATATAGCATGGCACTATTGTTTGTTGTTTGTGACATAAACTAGAGGTTGGTAATATTTCACTGTATGGTTTCATGTTGATTGGTGTGGGGTAATTAACATGATTAGCGTCACTACTCCTATTGTTTGTTTTAAAGGTGACATAAACTAGAGGTTGGTAATATTTCACTGTATGGTTTTTCATGTTGATTGGTGTGTACCCTGGGTACTATAAACATGATATAGCATGGCACTACTGGTATTGTTTGTTTTAAAGGTGACATAAGCTAGAGGTTGGTAATATTTCACTGAATGGTTTTTCATGTTGATCGGTGTGTACTCTGGGTGTTATACACATGATATAGCGTGGCACACAATGAAGGGTGAGCAAGGAGAACACGTTACAGCAGATTGATGCACTAAGTGTGTACATCGGTTTTTGCATTTCAAACTCCTTAAACACAACACATATTGTAGTCAATTCTTAAATAATTGAATTTTTTGGGAAAAATCATGAAGACAATGCATATGTTGATTTCAACTTCTCAGGGAAAGTTTAATGTTTCTGTGACACACTTATTTAATGTTATCAACTGACATTTAACTATTTTAATACAGTAACTTACAAATGAACAGTACTTACCCTGGAATGCATTTATTACTAGACGGAGGTGCTGTAACAGTGCTGACAGTCTCATTGCATGACGGAAAGTCTATCTCAGTGAATTTTAATCGTATTTTACAGGTGCTACAAGCTCGTATTTGCACTTCACACCAGGATCCTTGGAAGGATTTCGGGGAGTATGCCTCAGGGTATCCAGGTGAGGCAATATGGCCCGAGTCTCCCTTTTCCGCCCGCACAACGATGTTGCGACGACCTTTGTTACAGTAGAATGTTCCTAGAAAAAGAGGACCCCAGCTGTGAGAAAAAATACATACGAGAAACAAACAAAAGTAAATAACAAAGCTGAGTCGTAAGGTATTTGAGGATGGATTTAGCCTTAAACATGTGCTCTTTCAAATAATGTTTTTTTCCTTTTTGCTATGCTTTATATGACAGTATCGGTTTGCTTAAATACATAATCTCTTCCGCTGTAGCACTTTGTAATGGACAAAAGAAGATATCAACGTCAAACTCAGATGTAACATGGCCGCTACAGGTAGCATTCTCTAAGACAGAATGTCTAAAAAAATACAGTGGAGTGTTTTTGCATGTGCATATCAAATCACTGATAACTAGCCATTTTCATTTCTTACACTTGCAAATGTTGAATTATAGCTAAAATGAAGGAAAAAGACAATTATTCAACATTGAAGACAAACCTCTTAATGGTGAAGTCTGTGGCCAAACACATATGGGCCTTATTGCTTCATTTTGAGCTGCTATTTGTGTTAAGTCCCACTCAGTATATCAGTATAAAAAAAGAATTACATTTATCATTCATATGAACACATATGAAACTTTCACAATGATCTGGAAACATTGTCTTCCTTCATTGAATTAATCATAGCCCCTGGGTTTTAAAACAGCCCCTATCATACGGTATCCTTTTAACCTTTATGCATTATGTCATTTGAATAGAGATGCTTAAGGGCTCAGCGATATCTCAATATGTATTTTTTCATGATTAATCTCATCTCTGATTATATCGGTCAGAGTGATCGAAGACACTTTCAGTGATTTATCTGCTCGGCAGATAGTGCACCCCAAATGGCAGCATTTGGCAGTAAAAATTCACAAATGGGAATTAAATAATTCCCATTCATGTCAATATATTTTTTTAACAATTACAGCTTTGAGCAGTTGATTTGAATTTCACTGATAACAGGAAAGAAACAGAGAAGGCGGCATTATTGTTTTAAATGTAATGTCAAAATAACTCTTTTCTTAAAGAAACATTTGAAAAAAATCAATATTTTGTACAAAATGATGACTTCCCTGCCAAAAGCACTTAGCTTGAAATTGCAGAAAAAATCCCTGAATTTTGACATATTCAACAGAATGACAATTTTTACCTCAGAATCACGATCTCAGTTGAGATACATGCATCAGACATTTGTACTTGAGGAATATTTCATAACATAACATATGTTATATATCTTCAATATTTCTCTTACCTTTATGTATTCCATTCTCTAGTGCCAGAATCTGACTGAACACAAAGATCAGTGACACTGGCTGGGATAAACCTGAAACAGGGAAAAACAGTCAATCAACAATCTCTTACAGAACCCAGGGCAGGTATTTATTAAAACAATTACCCTCATTTCATTCTCATCCCATCATGATGCTGTTCTAGCTGTCTCCATTTTCAAAATCTCTGCAGTTATCAGTCTTGAAGGATCGATCCTTAATATCAAAGAAATTATTTTGATTAAACGTGAAACATACCTCGTTTCAGGTTGAATATATATTTCTCTAATATGTCAATACACTGATTAAATGCAACATATCAAGTTCAAAATGATAAGATCTTGGTTAACTGATTTTCTAAAGGGACGGTGGGGTGACCTAAAGCTTAAAGCATTCACTTGTCACGCCAAAGACCCAGATTCAATTCCTCACATGGGTACAATGTGTGAAGCCCATTTCTGGTGTCCCCTGCTGGAATAATGCTAAAGACAGCGTAAAACATAACTCACTTAATTACAGATTTTCTCAAACAATTTTTGGAGAGAACCAGTCACCACAAATATGTAAAAACATGACATAATAGGGAAATATGAAATTATCACACAAACATTTACATGAAATAATAAAACTAAGTGAAAAAACAAATTGTTCACAGCTCATATGAGCATTAACAAAAATTCATAAGAAATGGGCAAAGGCTCATTGGCACTGTCTGTTTTGCCACTAAAACTCATTGACATCGTCTGTTTTGCCACTAAAACTATGATGAACAGTAAACATATAAAACCCATAATCAACAAATAAATTACCAAGTGTTGTCAATATATTTGAATCTTTAATGTCAAAATAAACATTTTGCAATCTTAACTATCAAACCTCAATACATCAATTCATCCATACCATCTTGGCCAACTCTACAAACAAGTCAATGTGCCCGTGTGTACATTCATAATTAGTCTTACATCACTGCTGTTTGCCCAATCCATGTGTGGGGCTAAAATAACACCAGGAATCTGCATAAATCAATCAAACTGCACACATGCCTAATCAGTGTTTATTATCCATGTTTCATTCATCACGGCCAGGAATTTATATCTGTAGTTCAAACTGAGTGTTACCAGAGACCTGTGATATAACCCATATATTGACCAGGGATGCAGGGTCTATGGTGTCAAGCAGCAGTCCAAGTCTGATGGGGTAATTCCAGGTGTTAACATAATTAACACAACACTGGATCCTACAACCATTCAGAAACTCAATCTCCACAGATTTCTTATTTCTAAATTTGAGCATTCAGGTAAATCTTTAGTCAATTAATATTGAACACACTTTATGGATAACAACTTCTTTATTTTGTGAATGCGGCATTTCGATACAGATTCTTGTACTGTTGTCAAGTAGGAGTGTGCTTGACGACGGTACAAGAATCTGTATCGAAACGTCGCACTCACGAAATAAAGAAGTTGCTATCCATAAAGTTTGTTCAATATTGTACGTCCAACTTCTAAAACGCCACTGAAACTCAAGTTTCAGTCAATTAAGTCTCAAACCATACAATCAGCTTGCCTTGTGCTATGTTTGTGACAGCAGGTCTTGAAACAAATTAGGAACTTGGGTTAGAGAAAGAAATGCTTTTATCAAGAAAGTGTGGAGCATATAATGAACATGTCTTGTACTATTTTTGCTAATAAAACATACAACTGTATGGATAACAACTTCTTGTCTATTGCATAGAGTGATATTTCGGTGTAGATTCTTACATCATTTTCAAGCTAAAAGTGACAGCATGTAATGTGACTATGTAAATATATTTCTCAATAATTGGTTTTAGTTACTTTTAGCTTAATGGCGTAAAATTCTAATGAAATGAAAAGAAGTTTCCATAAAGTTATATGCTTTATTATTGACTCATGAACTTATAGAATGCCGATCAAACAATTACTATTTTTGCTGTCATCAAGGTTCTTGAAGCATGGGAGGGTGGTGGGGTAGCCTAGTGGTTGAAGCGTTCACTCGTCACGCCGTAGACCCGGGTTTGATTCCCCACATGGGTATCCTTGTGTATTCGGTTTTCGGTCATGTAAGGATTGTCGACCACCGTAATATAAAGTGCATAAATAAATCGATAATAAACAAACCTACCTCGTTTGTTTGTTATTTATTTATGATATTCAAATATCTGACGGATTAACCTCGTGTTTCACCCGCACAGCAGGCCTCAGAGTTCGCTACACAAAGATCGTGAATGCGGAAGTGACGTCATCTGTTTTCGTTCATTTCATTGGTTCTCCGTAAAACAGAAATCTAATAGCAGTATTCGTGCTATGCTGATATTTTTATAATATAAAGTTGATAAACATCCAGTCCAAAAAGAATAGTTACATCAAATGTCCAGGCATGTTTCACACCTCCGGTTCGCGCTGACAAGGGCGCCAAAACTAATCAGAAGATCTCACTACACATACGGAGGTGCACAGCTTGAGGTGGACCCAATGACAGCATGCAGGATGAGTACACTGGGCCCATGACACAGAAATATTCATTGCAGTTTCGAAATTGAATGAGTATTTTGGAAAATCGTAATAAGAGATGACCCTATCCAGTTTCCATATATATTTTTCACGACGGCAACGCCATGTGATATGTCATGTAATAATGATATGTCATACCATAAACAAGCAGACGACGCTATACTGAAAAGGTGGAGCTGACGATATTTTAGATAGAGCATTTTGATTACATGAATTTTATGCATTAGTAAACTCGGTTCTAAAACGTAACATTTACATGTGTTTGCAATCATGTACCTTACTAAATTTCACAAGAAGCATTTTGTTAGTTAGAGATGAAGCAGTCGACCTCCTGCTAAAAAAACCCTGTCTGGTGACGTAATATCTCGCTAATAACCACGAGAAATGAACACGCAAACAGCCGACCGAAAACAGTTGGTGTAAAATCATACTCACTCACTCTTGAAACATGTGTTTTATCAAGGTTTTATCAAGGTCTTGAATCATATCCAGTGTCCACATTCAGGTTTCAATTAGAATTTTCTTGGCTTCTATACACTTAATGTGAGGAGTCCATAATCATTTTAATAAATATATATGTCCCGTGCCATGGGTATTTTCCGTTTGTAGTGGTTAGATCGTCCGCCCGAGAGGCGAAGGTCGTAATCCCCGACCGCGTCATACCAAAACACATTAAAATATGGTACTTGTTGGTCCCTGCCTGGCACTCGGCATTAATGGGTACAACAAGGACTGGTTAGCTCGGAGTCAGTATAATGTGTCTGAGTGGGGTATTCATGCTTCACTGCGGCATGGTATCTCAGTGGGCTAGCACTATAAAAACCAGCTTAAGTCTGGGCTAGTACAAGCAGCTGCACATACACATACACACGCATGGACGTCATCATATGAGCGAAATATTCTCCAGCACTGCGTTAAACCCAATTTCACCTCACCTCACCATGGGTATTGCTAAAAGCGACAGAAAACTAAATTCACTCACTCCATGTTTACCATACAGTGACCAGGTAGTTGAGGCCACCCTAGTAACACTAACACTTTGATTTCCTAAAGTGTAAAATATGTGAAGCCAACATTTGTGGGGTTTTTTTCCATGTTTTGCTGGAACATTCTGAAAAGCTGTGTAAATCTTTCATTCACTCACCCACTGTCTATAGATCACACCTCAAATACAGAACTAGATTAATGCTTAGGGACCAATCATAATTTATGGTGGGAGGAAGAAAGAGAAAGGGAATGATGATTTTAAAAGGGGGTCACCCATTTTGTTCTGGGGAGGTAGGGGGTCATCAATTTTGTACACATTTCTAGGGGGTGGGGTGAGGGTCAGCAATTTTGTACATAAAATATTTAAAATTGTGCTTTAAAAATATGGAAAGGAGGGGGGTCCATTGACTTTGTACATGACATGCAGGGGTCACTTACTTTGTGCAAAAAATTTAGGGGGGTCATTCACATTGTACATGCTTCTCCATAAAAATCATCATCATCCCCCCTAGCCATAAATTATGAATGGTCCCTTAGTCTCTGAATATAATATAATTTTGAAAGAAACAAGTAATTCCATTTTAATTGATATGGAGCCGCAGTGAGTTAGGGGATTCAGGCTTGCTTCATTTATGGCTTTAGCATAGCAGAAAGATCTAGGCGGAAGGGCAAATAATGCGGTTCAGGGACCACGAGACAGACTTAATACAGAAACATGCACAGCATGTGCATGCCAAGGTCACACACAATCAGTCACAGGTTGCACTAATTACATTATGCATAGTCTGATTATAAGGTCAATTTGATACAACTTCTGGAAGCCCTGACTCGATAAGCCCTGCCACCAAGCATGTCTCAAACGTTATGGAGAACTATCTCCCAAGCTCCCACAGTTCCGATGGTAATGCTTTCAGGCACTTGTCTGAATACAAGTATCTGTGCCTAACCTTTGAATCTAATACCAAACAGTCCTTCTGCATCGTTTCAGAGCTTGTAATCGGCACATGTGGACTCTTATTAGCTGAGGCTACTGGACTGAAATAATTTTAATAGACTCTAGCTTTTGATTAGTGGCTGAAGTTGCCCACTGAGTGTTGTGTCCGATTCTGGAACTCCTGTGGCTCAAATGATAATGCATGCTTCTTCAAACAAACTAGCTCTAGTTTTGGCCAGTTGCATATTAAAAGCTGAAAAGTCAGTACAGAAATAATATCAGCAACTGTTTGGTTTTAGAACCGTAAAGATCCGGGTTAGAATTGATCTTCAGTAACCCATGCTTGTCCTAAGAGGCGACTAACAGGATCGGGTGGTCAGGCTCGCTGACTTGGTAGACACATGTCATCACATCCCAGTTGCGTAGATTGATGCTCATGCTGTTGATCTCTGGATTGTCTGGTCCAGACTTGATTATTTACAGACCGCCGCCATATAGTTGGAATATTGCTGAGTGTGGCATTAAACAACAAAACAACCATTCAAATCAACAATACAGAAATAATAAAGAGATATTGTTACATACAGAAGGTATATCAGGAGGT